GAGTGCGAGATATTGCTTTATAGTCACGGTAGTGATAGGCGATAGACAGAGTTGGGTTGATCGTTGTGTTTCATTTGGGTAGAGTAATGTCGACTTAAACTCGTCCTAAAAACAGCTGGTGTCGTCATCTTTTGATAGGCTTTTCTGGTTTGCCAGACCCACCACGTGGCAGTCGTCAACTTTACTTGCAGGCTTTTCAGGCAGTTCGTGTTATATCGTGTTGTATCGTGGGTGGCCGTCTATTGGTTACGCTTGCATTGAGCCTGCCAGACTACGCGGTAAGGGGAAGACAGAGACTCGAGACACGGTTGTATTGTCAGGACAAAACATACAGGGCTTCTGCACAAATATATAGGATGACTAAAGGGCCAAATATGGTCGTTCACTTGTTCGTTCTGTACAGCCAATCGCGGTGTTCCGGTTGTGAACCATTTCAGGCCCACTCCACTGGTCTTATGTCGCTAAGCCGTGTTTGGTGCGCTCCGCCAACGCACATGCTTTCTGGACATGTCGTACCGATGGTGACCTTGGAGATGCGTCACTCTCTGCACATGTACTTTTTCCATGTCTGGGGGCGTCCTGACACCAAGGCGGGTTGACATCGACCAGCTGCATTGGGCAATATCATGTCTGGTGGGAGAATTTCAATGTCTTAATCCTTCGAGGAAAAAGGGATTTTCTGTTTTGGTCGTTGGTTTGTTCACTAAGCCGTTTAGGCGTTCCATCACTAGCCGACATGACATTGTCGGTGCGTTGTGAATACTTCCAAAGTCAACGCAACTCAACACACACTTCCAACCCACTGATGATGTCCCCTCGACTGGTGGTCACACGTTTGCAACCACGCTGTTCAACTCAGCCAGCAGACCAACGGGCCATCATTCCTCCCCGAGCGTACAATTTTTTTGTATTTTTTTTAAAAAAGATTGTAAGCATGTGGTCAGGAGTTTAGATTTGATCGCTTTAAAGGAGTGATTAACGCCTAAGATCCAAAGACTGCTCCCTGTCTTGATTACTTGTGGACAGTTGTTCAACTTGAAGCAGGCTCATCTGAGTGGTACTCCCGCTGTCTAGGTGCAGTCGTTGGTCCACGCCAGACAAGGAAAACACTGGAATTGAATTTTGACCTTATTAGAGCCGTGCATACTCTCAGATTTTCAAAATGCGGCCTGGCTGTTTTACCATTGGCTCAAATGCACTCCCTGCAGCAAACGAGGTACAACTTTGAACACTGTTCAGCAAGTGTCGACTGTGAAGTGTATGAGAACTTCCTAGACCGGATTCCACAAATTTTTTAAAGCCAACAAGATTCTGTGCCCAATCAACGATTTTAAAACAGGTTACAAATGCGACTGGTTAGTCTCCTGACAGGTGGGTCAATCGAACAACGCAGTTAGGACAGATACTGTGTTGTTGGTCGAGCCTTCTGGTGAACCACTCCTAAAGGTCATGCGTAAACACGTTTCCCGTTTTATATGGACTCTTCCTCATGCGTGTGTTTGGTCGATAACACGAACAAAAACCCGGTCCTCCGAAAGTAAAATGCAATTAAAAAGACGTCTCAGAAGCGGTACACTTTCACATACTTTTTGGTTTTGTTCACACTTGCAGGAAAGACTTCTCAGAAACGGTACAATCTCACATACTTTTGGGTTTTGTTCAGACTTGCAATTCATGATCCTATTCACATCTATGTTGTGAAAAGGGTCTGCCAATGAGAGCAATACTTAGACCAACGAACTTATGAACCGGACATACCATGCCTTATTCCTGAATTCATATTGGTGTGCCATAAACTTAACTTAACTTAACCTTCCACTCAAGTGATTGGAGATTTTGCAGTCTTACATATCATGTAGAAAAGTTAGACTGCGCATAACGTGGAACGATATGAGATAGATTCCCATGTGACCACCGCGAAGAAGTATTGTCGGAACTCGACAGGAAGGCGGATTCATCATAGAGGCGTTTTTTTTGGAGGGACTGTCGTAATGTAAACCCTTCGAAAAGTGTATGAGACCCTCCTCATAGTCACAAATTCTGATAAAAATGTTTTGACGGTTATTCTTTACCAGTGGACCTAGTGGTGGTTGTAACCAAACAGGTTGTGACCAAAAAAACAACTTTTCTCGAATGAATGAAAGCAAAATCTGTGTAGAAGACGTTCAGCTGTAGGTTGTAACCAAACAGGTTGTGACCAAAAAACAGCTTTTCTCGAATGAATGAAAGCAAAATATGTGTATAAAACGTTCAGCTGTAGCATTCTCCCGGTACCTAACAGCCATGCCACCCCAAGGAAGCACGAGGGCTGGGATACTGCCAGGTTGTCCAAGCCTAGACAGGGAAACTTGAGAGGCAGAGGTCGGGTTCGAACCCCCAATCTTCTGGTCGGTAACTTCGCGTTCTAACCATCTGTGTGGAGTTGAAACAGTCAGGTTTAACAAACACTGATCACTCTTACAATGTATGTTACAAACAAAACAGGTCTTCAGTAAGACACGGATTAATTAATCCCCAAGTAGCCGTAAATCAGACTGTTTCCCCACCTTTTTAGTTGTTTTGTGCAGAATGAGATTCTCTGCAATCTGTACTTCTGAATAGAAGACTTGGTTTTGAATGTAGCACTCAAAACTTTCCACTAAACAAATGAATATTTTGCTGTAAGGAAGCCTTGGTCATCAATTACAAACTAAACTTTGATTTGTCAGTCCCCCAGGTGATTCATATTCACGCTTTATTGTTTTCGTTTTCCCTTTTACTAACCTCTAAAAGCCCGACCGCAAAGCAAATGTTGCCAATTTTTCCAACTGACAGCTGATCTTTTCCGATCACGACCAGAGTGCACTGACATTTTATGCGTATATTTGCATAGGAGTTTATATCTGCACTGTGTTTACCCAGATTGGTTGACGTCAGTTTGGCCTGGAGAAAAAATGCAGTTTTGTGGAAGACCGGTAGACGAGTTCACCGGGACATTGCAGACAATGTTGATACGTGCACTTGTGAGAGCTGAATGAACCGCATGCCACCTGGAATGTATCCATTCATAAAAATTCTTCTTGTTGTGTTCTAGTAACATGGAAGCTGAAACTTGTGGAAGTCTCTTTCAGTGGAACATGGAGGCTACTTCACTCTAGAAATAAAAAAATGCGCACTGAAATGAAATTTCCCAGTTCTGTGAGAACATAGAGAATAACTGGAGGTTTTTGTAATGCGAAGGTTTCGTTGTCGCGTAGATGCTTCTATGCAGGTAATCAATACGAGCTTGAGATAGCTCCGATGTTATGGTGCGAACTTGCTAGCCGGAAGGTCCGTGGTTCGAGCCCAGCTCCAGAATCTTGACTGCTTCTGTCTGGGATTCGCTTACCCGGTGGTATCTAAGCCATTGAATTTACTTCAGATGGCACGACACCTAAGCATTACGGATGAAACTTCACTGTGTAACATTAGTCCGTACACATGCGACAATTTTTTTACCGTTATGGTACACTCATATAAATGATATCAGTATAAAACAAGTTTATACGTTCCGCAGATGTACGAACGTATGTTCTAACCAGTGATATCATTAGTGGTAGAAGATATAAGGTAGTATCTACTGTACCACACGAGTCAATTACCAAGGGACACTGAGGCTGCACGAAGCGAAGGGTTGTGGTGCATCAACTGTGTATTTTTCCTGATAAGTTGATGTCAGACAAGGAGTAGGAACGAAAAGTTCCCATTATTTATGGTGCATTCTATCGTTACATCCCGGAGTATTGATCAGTCATGCGAATGCACGGATGAATTTGGGTTATGTATGCTTCTGTTGTACGAATTTTTGTTCCAGCGAATTCAACCAGATTCAATTTACTCATTTACCGGGGGATTAGCGTTGTTTTAAGAACCTAGTGGAACAGGGATAGGATTCTTTTTGATATCCCCAAAGTATTAGGGTGACACTTTTGAGTCCCGGATCTAAGAATTTAACGCGAATCGTCTCTCATTCCAGTTTGAAATCTCCCTTTTAGTAGGTAAGCAGAAGGAGTAATCGAGAGAAACCTGTTCAGATGAGCAACCTACTTGAAGTGAGCTTAACACATAACTCAGTGGTGAAGGCACGAGCTTCCTGACCGTAAGGTCCGTGGTTCGAAATGAATTCTAGATCTAGAGTGCTTGCGTCTAGGTTCTGGCAGTATCCCGACCCTTGTGCTTCTCTTACGCAACATGACAGCTGGGCATGTCAACTTTGCCAAACGTGGGCACGAATGTGTGATCTCTTGTTTTCCTAACTCATCGATGAAAGACATCAATGACGGTGTTTGTACTTCGTGGAGTCAAGTGTTTCTTATGCAGCATAAAATGTCGAAATAACAGAAAGTTCACTCATTGTATCCAGCAAAATCTGTCCACTTTTTGGAGGTACATTTGTCAGAACTTGTGAACCATGATTAACCCAGGCACAATGGAGCCATTTTTCTTCTACAACGATGGCTTCATACCGATTGTGAAAACAATTTCTTCGGGTTATATAATTGCTGTTTGTTTCATGTTGACTGTCTGGCTGGATTGCACAAAAGTAACGGCAGCTTCCAGAAATAGGCCTCGTTGCGCAAATGACCATTTCACATCGTTTTCAGAGTACTTCATTTACCCACCCCATTTATTAAACACTTGATCAAGATTGAAAGCATACAGATTGTCCCGTGTACTTCAGCGTCTGTGCTCACTGATTCCTGTGCTCACGGATTCATGTCTGAGTAATATTCACGATATCACACCAGTTGGTCACGTTGCATCATAATCTGTTGACTGACTTCTCGAGTGACGATTAATCAGAAGGAGGTTTCACCCATGCTAAAAAGCCGACAAGCACCGCACAGCTGTTGTGCTCTCATCAGCAGAGCCCGTCTCACGAAACTCAGACCTTCAGGCCACGAGTCGAACACTTAACGGCTTAGCTCCGAGTGGCTGATTAGCAAAGTGATTAACACTCACTTAGACAGGACATAACGCCGCTTATCGTTCAGTAACGGAAACCACATCTCCTTGAGTGACGACTCTTCAGATCAGGTTTCTTTCTACCCAAAGAGTGAATGTACGACAGTGAGCACAGCTCCGCACCGAACTTGGTTCTGATTGCGGATAGCACCGACATCTTGATTACACCGAGTAGTACATCATCATTTTGCTGTTTCAATTCATTCTTCAGGGCTTTGATCATACTCGGATCAACCTGTTGTCATCGGATCACTTTCGCAGGATGTTTCTAATCTGGCGACGTCACTTCTCTAAGCAAAATACATCATCTTCATTTTCCTAAGCGCCGACAGTACGGGTGATTTAACGCCGTGTCAATTTACCTAAATAAGACCTTATGATGGAAACAAGAAAACGAAAAAGGGAGTGGAACGGTACAGCTAAGACTAGCCTAACACAAATATCTGAGTTTATCTGCATTAGCCTCTCTATAAAGCGAATTCTCCGATAAAAGGTTTGCTTGTCCGGGTCAAAAACCCATGCCCTCCGGGTTAGGTGGGCGGCATTCAAAAGTGAGTAATGACCAACAAATCAGGCGAACGGTGAAATCATTTGAATGGACAGTTTGCGTCAAGACCTTGCTTTACACCAAATTTTATGATATGGGGTGAACTCATAGCAGCTGCATGCGATTGGTTCCCCTTTTTGTGCAAACACTACCCAAGATCCATCGCTAACTCTTAAGGGCCTGATAAATCCATCAACAGTGGCAAAAAGAGCAGAATGAAATGCTCTGGACAGAGCTTGTGGTCCCCATGTTATGTCATTCGTGTTGCTAAAATTTCGTGCAGATCTCCTCAGAATCCCCCCTCCAGCTCTCTGGAGTGTACTACACCAGACAAGCACATCATATTTTTGGACGATATTCAAGGTCAATCCTCTGAGTTAAAAGAAAGCATTGAAGTATCGATCAGTTACTTGCATATGCGTACACTTATACTGAGGATCCCAGTCAGTTTACTAGAGATACGTACTATCTTCCATCATGCGCATAAGCTTTAAGGTAAAAAAAACCCAACCGAATTGCTTTACAAGACAAAAATCGATTGCCCCAGCCTCCGGGGACTACCCTCACATGATGGACACAAATATGGCGGAGCCAGTGATGACCTGCAGACTCACTTTGAGCAACTACCCCATACTACTTAATTCGAAATACGTACCAATGTGTTCACAAGATTTCACGGTCCATACGGTCGCATTTCTCCTGTATGCGGACCTTTCAGAAACATTATTCCATCGTTACTTGATTATACGAATGCTATTAACAATGCCAAGATCGTTTAGATACTATGGCATACCGTACGAGGAATTAGAGCTTGAGGCTTGGCAACTGGTTCGAATGTTTGGGAAACGAACTTTATCACCGAGCCAGATAGACGTTTTACTAGGCAGTATTCCTCCCTCATTCCTTCGTCTCTTGTAACTTGCACGACCCACCTGTTCCTACGTTCGAATGTTTGGGAAACGAACTTTATCACCAAGCCAGATAGACGTTTTACTAGGCAGTATCCCTTCCTCATTCCTTTGTGTCTTGTAACTTGCACGATCCACCTGTTCCTATCAAAATTCCACATGAATGGGTGGCCCAAATCGAATAAAATTGTTAGGTATTCCAGAACAGCCTAAGTATTCTCTTATCTTTCACGGCACCAAAGTGTCATTTTCCCGCATCCACCCATGACTGCGTGCCATCACTGACGGTCAAAATAACGCCTTCAACGATCCATCGAAACGAAGTCAATCGATTTTCCCCGACCACGAGCCTCATCCGGTTGGCTCACTCTCAAAATGTTCTTATCAAAGTTCCCATCTATTTGTCTAACATTCGTTTACGAGTTTTCACTTCGCTAGATTTAGTGCTCCAACCACTGGATCATTTGGTCAAAACCAGGTTCATCCATCTTCATCTCAGATCAGCTTGACTTCCTGCAAACAGAAAGGTGTAAAATTTGGCCTAAGAGAACTACCTGATTCCCGACGTGGGTGGCTATCTTATCCGGACCTCACGCACTAAGTGACATTCTTAACGCGCTCTGTCGCTCAAGATTTTCCATTTGCGCTTCAAATCTCAGATCAGCTTGACTTCCTGCAAACAGTAAGGTGGAAAATTTGGTCTACCTGATTCCCAACGTGGCTGGCTATCTTATCCGGACCTCACGCACCAAGTGACATTCTTAACGCGCTCTGTCCCTCAAGATTTTCCATTTGCGTTTCAAGTTTCCGACTTTACCGAATTTATGCCAAATGTGATGCACCCACTTCGAGTTTGTATGCCACGAAGGGATCGCTTTCTGGATCCGAAACTGATGTTCAATAGCATTCACGTCAACTGGCGAAAGAGCCTAACTCATTCAAGTTCTAACCATCACTTTGGTCGGCGGAAGACTGTGTTCCGAACACGTATATTCATCAGCCGTAAGCTAGCGCAACTGATTTGAAGCGACTCATTTCAGCCCGGCCAAACGCCAAAATCCAGTTCCTGAATATATATATGTGTGGTTTGCTGAATCCACTGGCTTTCTGCCAAGTGCGACGAGATTCCTGATTATGAATCCGCTTTTTGTAAATTATTGTCAGACCGCAGAATTCTCAAGGTTATGATTGTATATTTAAAGGCAATCTTTTGATCGTTTTCGGCCACTTTCTCCCAAAGTCAAGGCGGGACTAATGAACCAGTTGTGGAATATATTTGTCATATTTGTCATGAGGGTCAAACACGACCTTTTTACCTCTTGTAGTTGTAAATGTCATCTGAATACTGACCAACGCTCAGATGAAACTGGGAACTTGGGGGTTAAAAACTGCACAGTGTGAAAAAGAAGCTTATGCTGCCTCAAAGAATGTGGACCAACTGACCGCGTAGTTCGGTGGTTGATTCTATCCTGCGCTTTTTGGAATAAAAAGCAGTCGAACCCGATGTGGACAGGAAAATCACCTTCATGAATGTAACCAGGCCTAAGAGAGTTGTCTCAAAGAATATTGGCAGAACACAGTACCATATTCCGAAAGCTTTATTCACAGTAGACCAAAGGTCTTACTGTATTAGGGGATATGTTTGCGTTATCACTCTACAAGCTACTTAATCGTATATATACATATATTATATGTGTATATATGTGCCTCGTAACCCAAATCATTTTTTCTTTTCCCATCCACAGGCTTTACCGTAATCAGTTCGTCTCCGCAATGAACAAATTCAAGGCGATGGAGAAGGCCAATAATCCTGAAGGTGCAAAACCTAAGTAAGCCGCTGACAAGAGTGTGCGCTTGTAGTTGTTTTTCAGTCCATCTAGCCTTATGGTACGCATGTGTGCCTAGTAATCAACAGCTGTTTGGTTTCGGGGCACGAACATTTTCCACAAACAGTCCCGGGTGTTCAGTTTTAAGTGCGTTTGAACAGCAGTGTTTCAGCGAATGTCATTTTGTCACTGTCTGCCGGCATTTGCTGCTTTCAGTAAGTTGACGAAAATGCGTGGAGTATTGATTCAGTTGGATAAATTGATTGGCGTATCTCTTTCTAGGGTCTGGTCTGACGTTAGCGCTCCTCTAAAGTCGCCTGCCAGTCAGAGTTGGGTCAAGTAGCTCCACTCTCCTGCAAGTAGCAAATGTGAGACTGATCAACCCCGCAAGAGAACGTAACTATCAGCTGATGTCCTATGTAGACGTACACGTGACTCATCCGTTTACATCTGCTATTCTAGATCGCTCACCAATCGATTAACTGGCCATTTAAATTAGTTAATGAAATTAGTACAGTTGATGTTGGTAGAAAGTGGAATAAGTGGATAAATGAAGAGGAGGTATCTAGGACAATGAAACTCAGACGTTTCCTGCGTAGTGTTTCCTTTTGTGGGTGCTAACGGTTCAGAATGCGATGAAAACTAATACATTGTCAATTGAAACATACTCTGCACACCACAAACCCCCAGATCATAAGAAGGCCCTGGAAACTCGCGGCTTGTTTTAGTTTGCATGCAGCCAACTGTTTAGCCCAGTCAGGCTCACAAATTTGACATCAAAAAAGGCTCATTAGCACATGAATCGAAGTGAAATTCCGTGTACGTAGTTGCCACGATCACCTATACTGGCCCTCGTTAAAATAATTAACGGCAACTGGACATGCAAAGTGGGTCGATCAGCAAACTAAAGGAAAAGTGAGCATCTTGCACCCAAGCTACCAATATTCCAACACATTACCAGCATTACGAATATGTGTACCGCAACATCTCGTACATCGCAGCAACTGAAACATGAGGCGGCCTGGTGCAACAAATTCAGTTGCCTGGAAACATCACAAACGAGAGATTCAGCTGGCTTCCAGCTGAGTCTCTCACAAAACCAAATTTGTTTGCAAACGAGTGTACTTCGCTAAGGAGTGTATTCACATCATTGCCTAGTCTATCTTACCAATTGGCACAGAATGGAATTCCAGCTAATTCCTAGCTTATTTATAACGTAAATATCACGGCCTCGTCGGCTCCTTTGCGGAAAAGATTTTTGTTACAATTGGTACTGTGGCCAGCCGACGTTAGATGAGGTTCATGGTTCGAATTGACTCGTGTTTCCTGTCATTTCTAAGAATGTAGAGAAAGCCATCAAACCTGACTCTATGTATACAGAAGTTTCCTGCTCAATGTTATCAAGGCTCCAGAGTGACCGGGTTGTCATCGGGATTGCAGTAAACCTGAGAACCTCTGAAATATTCTGGTATGCCAAATGCACCACGATCATAGAATCTTGGGTCTCAGGATTGATTAAGCGAACGCTATAGAATGAGGTTTGACAAGGGCATTCCGAACATTCCTTAGTATGTCGTCCTAACATCTCTTGACAGATTTCTAACATTATTTGGCCCAAAATACTTGTCACGTTAATTTCTCACCTGCTCCCCCGCATGAGTTGATTACCTGGGATTATTTGAATCCCAGGTTTTGCTCAACATCCTAGGATCATGGAGATTGTAGAATGCAAGACTAGGCCCATAATTTTTTCATGAACTTTTAGGTCCAGCTAATACATGGTATCTTCAGTTTTCAAGATCACTCTGAATAGTCTGAAAACATCAAGATGATGCGTTTGCTCGGCGGTCCAAATAACGTCCGTTAACGTCGTTTCTAGTCTCTTGCTCTTCTTGGTTTCATCTTTCGAAGCATTTTCTTGAAATGTTCGCTCATATCTAAAGACAATCCGTCACATTATTATTAATCAATATCAAAAATTGATAACTGTTCACAATATATTGATTGTAGCATCATCGAGTTTTCATCACAAGAATTGCAGTCACATTATATCTTAGGCCCACTTGGTTTCATTGTCACAATAACGATAGCGCGCACTGCAACCTTCACTTGCTTTTCTGGCAAATCTACCCCAATTAGACGTGCCGAGGGCAGAAAAAGAGCGCACCTTGAATTTAGCTTGAATTCAAAGATTGCTTGCTTTTGTCCGGTCTCAAAACGTTTGATTACAAGTGAGCGAGTGATTCAGCTGGATTTCAGGTGTCTTCTGTAAAACCAAATTGGTGTGCAAATGAGTGCATCTTACCTGCCTTTCGACACTGTTGATTAGCTGAACTCCACTGACACTTAAGAGCTGTCTACCGGTCAACTGGTCTTTCTGCTCCCTTCCTTCTGACGTAATAACCCTACCTCGGAAAAAGAAAACGAGAAGTGGGTCTTCGGATGTAGTTTGTAATCGATGAAGCATAATCGGTGAAGAACATAAACTATGAGTAAGCGGAAAAATAAGCCACAGTCGCCTTTGATTCCAAGGAGTTTCAGTTTCCGGATTTTTTCTGAAACGCAGACCTCCAATGACCTTTGACATGTATCAAGAAGGTCAGCTTCCTGAAAGCAACCTCTGAGTCCCCGAAATCTACCGAGACTCTCAGCTCCGCTAGCTGTTGACCAGACAGACAACGCCCCCTCAATATGTAGTGCTTCACAGCCTGGTATCAAACCCAGGCAGGGAGAGTCAGCGTTGACGAAGGTCAGACAACACCCCCCGCAATATGCGGCGCGTAGGAGCCTCGTACCAAGGTCAGAACGCGTGCGTCAGCATTGGACCAATATCAGACAATGTCCCTCCAATAAATAGCTTGAAACCGATGTACTTTTACACTCGCACTCACTCACACTCTCGCGCTTGCTTATTCGGAATATAGCTGTTGTGTCCCCTTCTGTGAGTCTTTTTTGGGGCACCAAGGCACTACAGCGGGTCAGCAGCAGATAGGCTAGATTGGCGAATCAACGGATATAACAACATGCTATTTGGTGGCCCATTCAGAGACTAAATCAATACACATGGCTTGGATTCTCGATCGATTCCTTCCGTCACGTAAGGCAAACGATCAAGAAAGCTTAGTGTATTAGACGTCAGTTCTCTCCTTAAACATGACTGAGACCCAGTTCTTTATTTCGTCTGGGGTCTATTCTCAATGGAAACTATTTCTTCCGTATCTTGCGTGCACATTTTATGCCATAACCCTCCCTGTCTCCTTTAATTTCTTAAACTGGTATGTCGATTCCTGTTATCTTTCCTTTTATAGTAGGCCTTTTAGGTACGTTCCATATTTTGATGTTACAACGCTGTTTTCTTTTATTTTTCTCAATTTTACCTCAAATGGTTCAAAGAGTTTGGGAAGCGTCTGCCGTAGTCCAACAGGCTGCAAGTTTGTACCCTCCGTTTGGAAGCATTCTCTCTCCCAGGTCATTTCTTGTACTCAGTGGGCTCCATTTGGGGAAGATGCTAAAGTTGGTGGTGAATTTTCCAAAACGACACCTCAGAAATTTCCTCCTGATGTGTAAAAAGAACCCCTTGATAGGATAATCTATCTGAGTATTCTACTAACTACGGCTCGTCAAGTCTCAATTCTGCCCCGTCGCTCTGTGATATTATTAGAATAAGACGATCACAAATTTCAAACTTTTGGAAACCACAAGGGAAAACAGTGCTGGCTAGAATTTTTCTGGAATTCACTGTACCGTCATGACGTCATGGATTATTCCGTCTTTAGGTGAGTATCATCCAGGTGTGTTGTTTAGGAATAACGCAAAAATGCAGCTATTTTGTAACACGGCCACATTCTTTTTTGAAGCTCAAGACTTCTATAATTACAGACCTCTCTCCGAAACGCGCACCCCGGTGGAACATTAAATTCCATTTCGCATGAACACTTCTATGGTTGGTATTCATCGGTTTCGATTAGAACTCGTTCCGTATAAATATCCAGTTGGTACTAGAATGCCATCTCTTAAGAAAGGTACCACGAGACAGCATAAACCAGCGTTTATTGATCCTGACAGATACGGCTGTGCCACGCAGCCAATGGTGGTCTTGTATCAAGGTCATCTCCCGCACTGCGTAGATCTCAAGCTCTGCCTACCGGACAAGCGGACTGTTCGAAGTCAATCAACAGACTGGACCATCCCTTCCCTTAGCTCCCAAGTGAACCAAGCTGTAGCAGTTGGAAACACTACACCTCGGTACACAATTGACGAACAGAAAAAATGAACCGAGTTAAACTGCCCCCTCAACATTGCAATCTAGCTAATTTATTATTTTCAAATACGATCGTTATCTTATTCTGATGCCCTCAAGTGCGTTAAACGGCCTAATCAAACGCTTGTGATGCTCAGTCAGAAATGAACTTTACGTTCAAAATTTTGAAGACAAACTGTCATTAAGTCAGTCAATGCTGCATATCACATAAATTTATTGATTGCTAGCGCTGAGTAGCACTCACTTATGCTACTGTTCTGAACATTGAGCGAACTCTGCCAATTTATGTTAATCCGGTGCGAAAAATTACAAAGCAATAACTATTCTCTGGATATTTATACACAGAAGCCTTTCTCGCACTCAGTGACCTCAGTTTGAACCTACAGAACGCATTCGGACAATCGATTTTGGGCCATTTCATTATTCCAGTGGTATCTCCTTGTATTTTCCAGCTCGAGATAAGTTAGGTCTAGGTAGCCTGACAGACCCTCAATCACCACGTTTCCTTCAGGAGACATGGTAGCCCAGCCCTGGGAGGGTATTATTCACTTGTCTCGGTCGATCGCACCAACATGCGGCAAAGGTTTGTTGCTGTCGAATGGTCAAGATAAGGAAAGGTCAAACAGGAATCCTTCTCGGTACAATACTGTCAGATAATTTGAGTGGCTAGCGTAGGCGAAACTGGGTTATTGTATTAACGTCTCCAGGAGCTCATTCCTACAAAACAAAGGCAAAGTTTTAAGCGGGAAGTGGTGGGTTTGGGAGGGGGGTTGCATGCAGAGGAGTGGTTTGGAATACAAGACATTGGAGAATAGTGAAAATACGTGCTGAGGACATTGAAACATGTTCGCTTTACCGACTTTTCCACTTGAAAATTAAGAGAAAACTTGACACAGCCATTGAGAAGTCGAATACAGATTCAACTTCTAGTGGGCCACAAAAATAACACTGGGGAGCAGTAGAATACCGTGGGCATGCTGGTGGCAAAAAAATGGAATGAGCGTGGTAGTTAACCCTGCGAACATCGTATCACAGGTTCGAAAAACAAATTTGCCATGTAATTTTGCCACGACAGACCATATAAGGGCTTCTTTCTGATGTAGTCACTGCTCTTTGTCTTGCCAGGAAACAATCGTTGGTTTTTTTTGTGTGTGGGGGTGGGGGTAGTGATCACAACTCCTGCGGATGTTTACAAGTCAAACGGTTACCACAATCGTCATGGATTCTTATGGATTCAGGGCTGCTTTGCAGTCCAGATAAAATAGCACATCTATCACATTGAAACTCCGTTTTAACCACCTTTAGAAATCAGGCCCAGAGTGTGTTCGCACACTGCGGTGGACTAGTTCCATTCAAACTCCCGGCATACTTGATTATTCGGAGAACTTTGCGCGGTAAACAAGAATCCCACGAGCTTTAATTACACTGGTTTATGACCAGAAAAGTGTGAGTTGATATTAAACACACGGTCTTCTTTGCTTATTCGGACTTACCTGTCACTCGCGTTGACGAAGCAAGTTTTCGGGAGTTAGGAGACGCCGTAATCGGAATTCAGCCATCCCAGTAAGGTCTAACGTGCTTCCAAACGATTCAAAATTTTCAGTAGTTATCTCAATAAGATTTTACAAACTTCCAAGCGTTTTTTCCAAGCCGGGAGTGTATTATTTGTTATTATTGATTTTTTGAAACGAATTAGTCATCGGAGTTCCAGTACTTCTTCAGTTTTGGGAGATAACTGACAATGACATCTGTGTACTTCACGCAAGTTGCCGCACCAATCAGGGTGTTTCCTCCATGTACAGCCAACCACGGAATGAAACACGAAGAAAGATATCAGCTTATGAATGTGTACTTTAATAATATTATAC